TATTGTATCGTTAAAAATTAGAAAATTAAGCCTCGTTTAAATACCGGTTCCCTTTCATGGTCGATCCAGTGTTGCCAGCTAAAAGACGTAGAAATTATATCAAAGTAGCCAAGACATAGCCAAATATTGTAGCGCCACATCACTAGCGGACATTTGAAATTTGCCGACTAGGACGATCCGTTAACCAAGGTGTCGGTTAATCGACAGTCGGATAATCGAGGCTCTACTGTAATATAATAAATATATTCTCTTTATACATTGTATTATGTTGCTATATTATTAAATGAAAATAATTACTCCATTCTAAAAAGTAACTATAAAAAAATCAAGCAACGAGTTGCTTAACTTTCCCGGCAGCGTGTGGAGCATGTTACGACATACTATTAAAATAACTTTTATATTTTTATTTATTATAAAATGGCAAAACGCATAATTTTGAAAGACAGATTTTATTTTAAAAAACTGTAAATGTTAATAACGAGTAAAATCATCGTTCTGATATGACCCCTATCTATCTACCTAACCATTCGACCTTTAACAGCCAAAATTTAACAGCAACAATTCCCCTAATAAACTTACCACCCTGCAAATTTTCAGAAATTTTCGACAATATAATACATTTTAAACAGTGCGAAACTAGTTTTCATTTATTTTCTATAAAGAATAATTCGTATTGTACGAAATCTAACAAATAACAAGTAGCGTACATTTTTTACTGAGTATTTAAATTACAATAATATTACAACAGCAGATCTTCCGGATTGTCTAATTTGAATGGTTTAATCGTAAAAGAAACCGAAACACACTTTCCAATTGAATCCTCTTGTACAGACATGCCAACTAGGGTTTCTCATTTCCCGGTCTTTTGCTTGTCCCGGGATTCCGGAATAAAAGTGAACTACCAGTATTTTCCGGGATAGAATGATTTATTTTTAAGGTATACAAAATATTTTGAAATCAAATGATATAATTATTTTCCATTTTTTAAAGTAATTTTAAAGTTCTGTAACCTCCAAAATCATATTAATAATGCTGTGTAAGGTCTATAGGCCTATAATAAAAATTACCTTTAAATAACGTAAAAATTTTCACAAATAGAAAAAAATTAATTAAAGTTTGCTGGAAACTGCATACAACAACAAAAAAAAAAAATGTTTTGAATTGAGTTAAAAATTAAAAAAATGAACTTCTAATTTAGAAGGTAATTTTCGTTTTTTAAATAAAATATAATACAAAATATTGCAAACTTTTATAAGATTTTAAAAAGCAAAGATGGTCAATACTCCGATAACTCACTCTAATTCTTATTTTAGTAATGAAAAGTCTTGCCACCGAGAATGCCCTTTCCGATTCAATTGATGTGATTGGAATAGTGTTTAATGCATTTAAGAGAAGACAGATATTATGTGTTTTTTCACCTGTAGCCTGGAAGATTTCGAGTTCGTTTTCGAGATTGTAGTACTTCTTTCGCTCTCTAGTATTCTTGATTTGTCTACCTTGGCTGCTTTAATAGCGGCATCAAGCTTAGAGCTCGATAATTCGGCAATTCATTTGGCTTTAATAATCAGGTTTATGAAGAAAAACTTCATACTTGCAGACTTTGTAGTCGTTTGTATCCTTGCTCAATTTGCACAATCTGGCGTCTGGCATTTTTTGAAGCTACCGGGCATGGTTAAAACTCAAGACAGCGTAAGCACAATTATTCCAGATATTACAGGTTCCGACAAGTAAAGAATTTTTATAGTCCTACCACAAATAAGCTATATATTCATTATTGATCATTTGTGACATGCTATAACAAGCAAAAATTAAAAAAACTAATAGGTAGGTTTAAAAATAATAAATACAAATGTATTCTGACAGTGAATGAGTTAATTATGCTTTCTATGTGCAAAATTCCTCAACCTTAACACAAAATAAGAAAAAAAGTTAATTTTTAAGAAATTTGCGGGATTTCCCGAAATAAGAAAAATTTCCCGGAATATTTCCAGGGTTAAAAAAATAACCGGGATCTCGGTTAAGAAACCCTAGTGCCAACTGGTATAAACATGTAAATTTATTCCCCGAATTCTTAATTAACGTGATTAACGTAAATCTAGTGACAGGTGACGGGTAAAACGGGGTACTTGAAACACCCCTGGGATTTGTAACGTTCGATACCAATATTCAGCCGATAACATTAAAGAGAGGATAAAAAATTCTATTTATTACAAGCAATTACAGTATGAATGTGTACACTTTATACTTATCACAAACTTTACACTTCATACAACATTGCTATATTTATAAACAATTGTTTTTAACTCGACACATTATAAAATTTAACTACAGAGATTGCAAGAGGAATGTACCTTCAAATAATTATTGCCATGTATTTACAGCATGTAAAAAGATCAATTAACACTAGTACGAATTTTCTAAGAATTCTTATTATTTATCGTCAAGTGTCTAATTGTCACTATTCATCACATTAGCCGAGGAATTTTAAACCAATTTTATACAGGACTGATTATGACAACCATTTTCCTCGATTATAATAATGGATTTTCCACAATTATTAATAATACAAACTGTTTTATATCTATACTTATAATATAAATTATTCTGGAACAAAAGAAAAAAATTTCTTATTATTTTTTTATAATTAAATCATTTATACACCATTAACTTTTGTCTGCCAGCTTAAAAGGATTTACCGGATGTCAAAAAATTAAGGCAAAATCTATATGCCAAAGGGTAGTTACACAGTTGGAGGAATGTTTACCGACGGACCGACATGATCTTGTCCCTAGCAAACAAACACTAGGGGGCCTTCCTGGGAAATACAGTCCCATTTAGGTTTTAGACACGTGGAAAATAGTTTTTTTTTGTGACTTTTTAGCTACCTTTTCTTTATCTTATAGTTAAAAAAAACGTCATTCGAAACAGATCATTGCCTATTTTTCAGAAGAATAATAATATAACATAACACATGTTTAGGTTAGCTATGACTTGAATTTGGTGTGGCATGGCACTTGGAACCAGTATCGACCGAGCATGAAATTTGCAATATGATAAATAATAGCAGCAATACAAAAATATAATAGATAAAATATTTATCTTTGTAATGTTTATCCCTAGATAACTTGGCATAAATATAATTGACTGTTAACTATAAACGACGTTACATCGATATAATTAAAAGTTTTACACATGTTTAGGTTAGCTATGACTTGAATTTGGTGTGGCATGGCACTTGGAACCGTATCGACCGAGCATGACATTTGCAATATGATAAATAATAGCAGCAATACAAAAATATAATAGATAAAATATTTATCTTTGTAATGTTTATCCATAGATGACTTGGCATAAATATAATTGACTGTTAACTATAAACGACGTTACATCGATATAATTAAAAGTTTTATATATAATTTTTACTTTATTTAACACGCAAGTAGTTTGAAAAATTTGGTGACAAAAATATTTCCAGGTGACGTCGGTAGATGGCGCGACGGTTCACTTTCAATCACGTGTAGTAATGTTCGCGTTTTTCATGAACTATAGAGGGCGCTGTATTTTTACGAAACGGCTACTCTATCTGGGTCGTTTGTTAGTCGTTAATGTAAAATGAATTATATATTACTATCTGATATAAGGAAATATGCTACTTGAAATATGTTAAACGAGAATGACGTCATCGTTATTTTTATTTAGTTAGACTTTTCGAACGATTCGTTTATAACTAAATGGATGTTTCTAAAATCGAAGATATGAATATTGTTAGTGCAGCCTTATCCGAAGTATTTTTCTTAGATTGCTTCGGGTGGACAGTTATTTCTATCATTTCACCTTTTAATTCAGTTTAAACACTCCAGTATATTTAGAAATATCGATATCGTCGGCCGCCATTTTCTTAACGAAGTGAACTAACTCTTTCCTTCGTGAACTTCGTTAGAGTTTCGTTCGAAACGTCACCACCGCAGAGCATGCGCACTGAGCGAGACTACTACTTTTAGAACTATTCGTTACTAACGTGTTTAACTCGTTCGAATTTACGAACGTACCCCCAGATAGGGTAGTTCTGTTTTTAAACACCAGAGGGCGAGCATCCGGTGAAAAACGCGAATAGTACACTGTACGGACTGTACCCACTATTAGCGGTCACTTTTAAATCTGACTCGGAACAAAGATGCAGCTCGATCGTCAACTGCCGAAATATATTGATATAGAAGGTGTAGAAGGTGTAGAAGGTGAGTTTTGAATATAAATTATTGTAATTTAATTAAGTTGAAGAATAAATTATTAAAATAGAATAAATAAATAAATAGAAAGTGAGTAGAACGAGGAAATTGTGGCATGTTACGTGTTAAAGTATCTTCCAGTTATATTAAGTTTATAAACTTTTCGGAAGTTTTTAGACCTAAATAAGGGATTTATGTTGTATAATATAGGCAAAAATGATTGTAAAATTTTAATTTTTTTACTTGAAAACAGTTTTTATTGTCATTAAATGTGTGAATAATTTCTTACCAAAATTTTCTTTAATAATACAGAATATCAATTATTCAATTGTAATTATGTTGATTGAAATCTTAAATATGTTCTAATTATGAATATTAAAAGTTTTTATAAATGTACAAAAGGTATTTTTAAGATCAAGATGGCGGATTTCACTAGTCTACACGTGTTAGACGACAACCACGTGAATTATGAAAGTTTGTATTCCATATCGGGCACTTGTGCTATTTGAAAGGTTTTCTTCCATAAAATTAATCAAATCTAGACTAATTTCACTCGAATATTTTTAAAACCCGTATAATTTCTTGAAAATGATCGATATAAAATATGCTATGAACAAAAGATTGTCGGAATACTTATCGAGTGTACCCGTTCGACGACACCATTGCTAAGTTTGTTTTAAGATGTCACGTGACACGATTCGTACGTCACGTGACATTTGTTGTCCGTGCTATTCGGTAACTTCTCTACTCATCTCTAACGTGTTCCTGGTAACTTATTATTTTTGCGAAGAATTCGCTGAACTTTCGAGACCACGTGATAGATCATAATATACTATACATTTTTATTGTAATTAGAAACGGCTTATTATTATTATTGACTATATGAAGCAATAAAGAAAAAACCGCTCGCAATAAAGAAAAAGCCGGCTTATTATTATTATTGACTATATGAAAAAATAAAAAAAAAACCGAACATCACAATTGCCCGATATCGTTTGTATTAGCAGTATCTTTTATTTATAGCCTATTAACAGAAAATATGTACCTACGTTTATATATTTGAGAAGTTATTTATTCGTTAATCGTAAAACTAAACACAAAGGATTTGTCTAGAACAGCAGTTCTTAACCTTTTTATTGGTCAGCACCCCGTTGAATCTGTAAATAATTGTATTAAAACGATGCTCTTTTTTTGAGAATCACGCGTAAGTCATCAGATGCATTTAAGCAATTTCTGGCTTTTGTTTTTATGTGCAAAAGTGCTGTATTCAATGTATGCAAACACGTCTCAACTAGTTTCTGTACTGCACGTGACAATGTGACTACATTTAGTGCATGTACTGACTGATGACAAGCGCTATGTACTGAGAGACTGTAGAGTGTGTAGAAGTTGGGGTGCCGTGTTGCTGGGTACCACAGTTTATAGAAAACACAGTCGCCTTGATAGTATTTTTTTTTATAATTTTTGAAATTTCTCTTTCACCCCAACCTCAGGTCAAGAATATCATCGTACAGGGATCATCCTTACTGTATGAATTCTCCAAAAAAATGTATGGTTCTGCCTGTTACCGGTTAGGGCGCTACATAACCCATAAAACATTCTGTTAGTTATTAGGTGTATAACGTCAAGTGCGTAAATGGAGCTCGCTATTCAACATTTTATTGTTACCCAAGGATTCAGCCACTAGCATAGTGACACTTTTTTAGATATTTTGCCCATTCCCACGCATTGCAACAATATACATCTGCAGTACTTTGTACGCTAAGCCGCTACATAGTTATGATTTTATAACCATAAATCTGATTAAACTTTTCAAAATACGCCCATTTGATATCACTCTCTCTATTAACTTTTTGGTCTTTTTTTTCTTTTCTAGATGATCAAGATGATCAATTGTTTACCGATGAAGAAGAAGAAGGTAACCAATCAATTCATAAGTTTATTCATAGAAATTTTATTATTTTACGTGTTATTAATTACTACATATTATACAAGTAGACGCAGTTGTTACGTTTAAATTATTATTATTATTATATGGGGTGATGCACGAGAAAGTAGCCACAGTGTGTAGCTTAGCACAGTAATAAGCACAGAAGCTAACTGTTGATATTAGAGACATATATATTGTAAATTATCACCTGTTTCATCTATACGCAGCTACGCATGTCGAATCGTGTTTAGTAAGACCCTGCGTGACATAGTGACCATCTATGGTGGCGATTGTATATGGATTTGTTTAAATATTTTGATTTTTGATTTGACAACCCACACGAATTTCCCAAATTTACGTGGAAAATTGAGTTCAGGGAAGTAATTCTGAAAATCTTTAAAATTCTTAGAATAATGAGAAAATCTTAACTTTGTAATGGGCATA